AGAACTACAGTCAACGTCAAGGTCTACAAGACAAGCTGCGAACCATATGTGTGGAGAAATTCAAACACTTCACTTCTACTTAAAGTTTGTACTGATGATGTTATTCGGAAGAACAATGAAAGCTCCACGATTAAATCATCCAACTCAAAGAACAAAACTCCACCAAAATCATCCATCTGAGCTACAAATCTCATTACACTTATCCTTCTTTTTCTTTCTATCACAAGGAATCAACTCATAATTTAACAAGAAAATATATTTTAATAGAAAATTTCACATTATTTGATTTATATTCTAATTTATTATCAAAATTTGCTAATGAAACATTTACATATGATGATATTACTGATAACAATGATATGAGTAGTATAAGTAGTAGTAATCATGATAACATGATGAATTCTATGGATATTAAACCTTCAATGATGAACAATTATGATAATATTCAAATGAATACTGAGAAAATGACAAGCACAATGGTGTATACACATGATGATGAGGATGATGAAGATGATCAGAAGAATAGAATAACGAATGTTATTTTAGGTGAACGACTTCAACCAAGAATGTTTCTTCCTTTATTTATTGATATTTATAGAATATTTAAATCTATTAAAGTACAATGTGGAAAAAGTAAGTTAACAAGTACAACTTTGGATAGGTTGCTTGGTTATTTAAGGGTATAAATGATGTAATTTTCTTTCAAGGTTAGATATAGATGAAATACTTTGTGATGGTCGGTATTCAATAGAATCCTTAAACTTTGTATACAGTTCGTCCCGATAATCGTGATTAGTTAAAACCTCAATGGTGTATTAATTAGAAGGCGAATAAGAAGTGTTGATTAGGTTTACTATTGCACCGCATACAGATAACCCAAATTTACAAGAACGTTAAGCAAGCATGAAAGAGTAGTGCTGAAAAGTTGGCGGGAAAGCGGGTGAGCGTGCGAGTCGAACGAGCGAGTCAGTGAGTCTATGAACAGGATTAAAATGCACACGTATATATATATATATATATATATATATATATATATATATATATATATATATATATAGGGAAATGAATGAATCATCGAATCAATTAAGCGACTACTAGTAAGGCTAGCAGAATGAATATATACATAGGCAGTAAGCAATGCTCCCCAACCAGGTAGTCTACACCTACCATCATGACTCAGTTCACTTGTCAGTGACTTCATAGAATTGTGTCATGTTTTGGTCTGGCTGCCTCTAGTTTTCTTTCAACCTACTCCTACACCGCAAAACATTGCACGTCGAGGCAGTCGATGGTTGGGCATACGTAACACGTGTCCCAGCCATCTCAACTGATGAAGTTTTACTACTTCATCAATTGATTTGCCATCCTTACCTAGTACCCGTTTCCTAACAACTGTGTTACTTATTCGGTGATCCTAGGATATACGAGCAGTGCATCCTCTACTCTTACCGGCCATGTTTCACAGCCATAAAGTAGGACGGAACGAACTGCTGTGCAGTAAACCCGTCCTGTGGTTGGTAGACGGATATCTCGCTTATTCCATAAATGACGCAAGTTGGCAAAAGCCAGTCGAACCTTGTGTATTCATGCTGAAATTTTGTCACACACTAAAACATAGACATTAATGCCAGACAAATATTTGGTTACTATAAATGTAATCTGGCTAATCAGATACTAATGGCATAAGATACATTATTTTCAATGATGATTTATCCTGTCATCAATACATCAGATATTTGTGTGTTCATAATTCAAATGTTTACTCACATTACCATACTAACTTACATAAGCGTGTTACTCCTCATAGAGGAGCATAAGCCACCCATCAGCATTCTCCAAGCAACTCTGTCTTGGATAAGGACAACAGAATATTAGTAATAAACCACAAACATAACGAGCTTTTTGTTGGGGACGATAGATCCCCAAAACTCATATTTTGTAGTTTCATCTTATCAATGAACTTATCGATTAAATATTTGAATGCCTGTCGATTGATGAACTTATTGATTAATGTTTAAAAACATTTTACTATGACAATATCGATTGTAAATATTTGTATAAATACGCTTGGCTTGTGTGCTTGACCTGACTTGGTATCTGCTGGTGGTTGCCTGTAGAATACACTTTCTACGCCTCACCCAGACTTCTTGATCGCGTTAGCTGAGTCGGGTACAACGGACCAGAATAGCCTATCGAGATTCTGAATCCCTTGGTCCGATCGATAAGCCACTGTCCTATAATCGGTGGCCCTTTGAGATATAACACTTTTAAGCTACTTTCCTGAAAACTATCCCCATATTCTCTGAAAGAATTGATGCAATATTGAAACAATGAATTGGCAAATTGTAAGTGATCCATTCTCCTTGTCTCTAATAAACAATTCATAATTGTGTAGTAACCAACTACAAAGTTCAGTTAGTGTGATTAAAGTAGAAATGTGTAATTATCATCAATAAGTGTTGCGAACAAATAAGACTACCAATCATAAATAACATTGTCTAACATAACCTACTATAAGATATCTAACGTGTAACCATAATTCACCCTGAAACTGTATTAGTCTGTTGTTATAACTTGTGACCGCCGACTAAGTTAAGTCCAGAACACCAATCCGGGCCTCTGCGATATAAATCATTATATTTCAAACATACTGAGTTTATATACCAATCAAACAGACCACAATGTACCAATAAAATATGAAACAATATTTGTACAAGAATTACCCAGATGTGGTTGTGAAGGAGGGAGGTAGTAATTAATATACTGGGTATAACTCAAGAATGGTAAAACGTATAATAATAGTTTATGGGTGAAAATAAAGCTTATAATAAGGGGGAATATGAATATGCATAGTTTAGTTACTTAATAATTATACAATAAAAGTATACGTACAGTATTGATCCATAAATGGATCCCAAAAGTTACTATTCATTATGTTTCTCGGGTCCTAACATCTTTATCTAATAAACGACTAGAGGAAATAAACATTTTTTCGTAAGACTAATCATATTTGAGAGTTGTTCGGTGTCAAAGTCATGTAACCCGACTTAAACATGATTGATGGGCAAACCTTGAGTAAATAACTGAAACCTTGACTTCTTAAACGTTTTCGCTAGTCAGGAGACAGAGATGATAAATGAATGATTTGTTGTACTGGGAATTCAAATAAGAATATGATCTAATGATCTCCATATTATTGCCAGTATTATTTCATGATGGAAACACTAACCGTAACATGTAATCCTAACTCTTAACACTAATTCCAAATCCTATTCTGGTATTTGTTCCATGACTTTTCGCGTTTCTCATTTGTTCGTCTGTATGCTTTGGGTTAATTGTTCGATTTTAAGCAGAGTTAGATGACAGCCAGAAGTGGAATACAGGACTTGAGTTCCATTTTATTTGGGACTTGTCATATGGATTCACCTGCATTTCAGAGTTGGTTTTCACTCCAGGAATCGGACTTACTACGTTTTGCTTCAAAAACTAAATATTATCTACTGGACTACTGAGTTCAGATAACTAATGATTGATGCTAAAGGGTGCATTTTAATTGATTGTTTTGGTAGCTTGAACATCAACTGTGGGATGCTGAAAAATCCAAATGATGAGTCCAATATAGGAAAAAACTAGCATCGTAGATTCCACTGTCGACCACCATCCAAATCTCATTAAAGTGCTTATGAACTAATAGCGATATTTAAGCAATTCTCACAGGACCCACAAATGTGGAAAGAGAGACTAATCTCAGCTCTAAACATCTATAGGAAGATTCAAATAACCAGTACGAAGGAATTAACTTTTTGATATTTGATTAACTTATTTAACTAGATTTAACATTCTCCCAGATAGAGTCAAACGAGGATAGGGTACATATCTGTGATCGTTTAGTTCATCCGCTTCTCAATGTTCAATATTTGTGTAACATCGAGCATTTTTATTCATTTAATAAGTGAATCCTAGATACAAGAGCAGAATTTTTTTACTGGAGGCTTCATTTCATCCTCAAGTTAATATTATAATCATAACAATTTTAATATAACACCGGCGAGACTCTAATTTATGGACGACCTTTGAATGAATCTTAAGTGACTTTGAGAAGTATTAGCCGATCCGCAAACAGTCAGTATAGAATAAAAATATTTTATACAAAACCAAGGAAATAAAGTGGATACACTTCTTATACGTGGTTCAAAAACTTGTCAAGGTTAGAAAAAGGTTCAGAGGTTCTAAAATCGTAATGCATACGGTAAACGAAATCATCCATACGGCTACAGAATAGTCGGCATCTGGATTCATGATAAAGTCTCTTTCATCCTCAACCTCATAGCTTCAATATTGTTTATGTGCACTTCGGTTGTTGAGTGCACAAAACGCTACTTGTGGATAACGACACGATACACATAACCCGGCCTATGTAGTAGTCTGTAGACTCTCTAATCATCCTTATATATTGTAGTACCTGGCTGCAACCAGTGTTACTGGTGGTTTAATTATCCAGTTCTTAATAATTGTCGTAATTTGCCTTAGTTAGGAATTATATATGGGGTTTTCATCATGAATTGATATCAGCTATAATGCCAGAAATCTATTTAGCAAAGTGCATGAAAGGCTTTCGTGTTAAAATTCGAGATCTATTATCTTATACCTGATTGATTCGTCCACAAATTATAGTCTCGCCTTTTCATTTGTTATAGCCACTCAATTATCACGTTTTGTACAAAATCCCCTGTGAACCGAACGTACGTTAGCATTAAGTACTGAAGTTGGCGCCGTGACCTTGACATCTCTAAACCGCTTCTGATTGGCTCGTCCATAAATTAGAGTCTCGCTATAACACCTCAATATACCTCATGTTTGTATGTCTGTATCCCTACAATCAACCTAATAGTTTCGTTACTCCTGATTGGTTCACTTAAGGTCAACCTATTCAACGAATCAGAATATGATTAAGAAGACGATGCTATGAGGTTATTAGATGAACATTTCCATTTTATAAACACAAATGAAACCTCATTTTAGGGTAATATAAGTAGTTCCAATATATGTTTTTAATGGTTCTGGAATTTGTTAACTTCATTTTTTCTCTTGTATATCATTTGTTTTTAGCCTGTAAAGATTATATACCAAATTATGAATATGTTCTATGGATGTATAATTGGGTTATTTGTACAAATTTAGGACCAAAACCTAAAAGTGATATTGATGGAATATGCCCTAAAATTTGTCGTCCACGTGTAGATATAATAAAAAATGATTTTATTCAACAAATTATCAATTTAACTTTTAAACCAATTCATATTGTCAATCCATTTGATGTTTGTTCACAATTACTTCATACAATATCTGGTTCATGTTTAGTGCATGGAAATGGTGTCTATGTAAATGAGTTCTCGTAAGTTTCAAAGATTGTTATGTGAGAACATAACTTTCAATGATTATGTACTAAGAACCCTGCTAGTTATTTAACTTAGGTCTTTCAGGTTTTCCTAGGAAGCATATTGTCTTCAGATTATTGAATTGGGATCCATTGGTTTACATCCCTGTATGTGATCGGTTTTCACCATTCAATGTCGTTGTTCATGTTTATCTCACTGCTTATGCAATTAAACTCTACCATTCATGGCTTCCCATTAAAAGGTCTGGAATTTTTTCAGAAGCAATCAGTCATTGGTTAGTACATAAATACTGTCAAGATGAGAATTTTGTGAAGATTGTTATATTTCAAGATAGTGACTTTAGAAAAAGATTATTGCCTTTTCCTGATAAAATATTCAAACATACCGAAGACTAGTACATTAGGACACATTTGGTGAGTTTATACTATAGACCAACAAGATGTCGTTAACTTATAGCAAAGTATCATAGAGAATCTAGATTTGTGCTATACCAAGGTTATAACTGAGAACAAACACTATGCTGCTTTAATTCAACAAAGTTGTAAGCTTAACTTTCGGACATATGGAACGCAAAACAACTGTCAATCAATATCAAGGTTGCAATCCTCAATATGAATGTCAAGATAGTTCTACTGTACGAAGCTAAAACTTGGAGAACCACTACAACCATTATCAACAATGTACAAGCATTTATAAATACTTGTCAACGCAAGATACTCAATGTCCGTTGAATGGATATCATCAGCAACAGCCTACTGTTGCATAGAACAAACCAGCTTTTAGATGATGAGGAAATCAGGAAATGATGTTGGAAGGAGATAAGACATATATTGCGGAAATCATCAAACTGCATCACGAGCCAAGCCCTAACTTGGGCTCCTGAAGGGAAGCGGAAAATTGGAAGGCTAAAGAACACATTACGTCGGGAAATGGAAGCAGACATGAAAAGGATAAATAGCAACTGGAACTTACTGGAAAGAATTGCTCAGGACAGAGTTGGATGGAGAAGGCTGATGATCAGCCTATGCTCCTTGACGAGGGGGTAACCGGCGTAAGTGTTATATCTAGATCTTTAGATTCTTAATATACCGCGTATAACTTGAGCACTCGAACTCTAGAACCCTCCAAGTCGCAAATAAAGATACAGAATAAGACTGAAGAAAGTTTTTGTTGGGTAGGAATCAAAACGTACAGAAAATCATGAGTATTTATAGATATTTAACGTTTGTTATATTAACATTATAATTCAGCCAATCCGCAAAAGGCATTTTATACCACTGAGCGATAGTAGCATACGGACGTTGACATTCTAAAAAGCTTCATTACGTTCTGATTGTATGGAACTCTTCGGCTCTTTAAGGGGTGAGATTATAATTTACGAACAAACTAGTCAGATATAAGATAACAAGTCTCAGATTTCAACGCAAAATCTGCTCATCCATTTGGTTAAATAGAATTTCGGTATCTAATCCAATTTCTAACCTTAACCATCAACTGTAAACTATAATTATAATTCCCCACACAGGTTTATAACTCTCATTTTTGTTCTGTCTATTAAGTGGACACTCTTGTAGCGTGGCGTCGAGTTGAGATTAACTATGAACACCGCTACAGAGAAACACGTGCCAAGTAAATCAGAAGGCGAAGGTTGAACGTAACCAAATAAATCCATAAAATCCCCGAGAAGCCAAATATCAGAAGGCAATTAATGGACCAAGTCGAGATATATTTGCTGGCGATCTCGTGGTATCGAAAGGATACCGAGATCGTGCCAGGATACAAGCTTGGTTACAGAACGTAACCGAATTCGCGCGAAGTTACAATCAAAGTGTAAGAATGGAAGCACAATATAGCTGTCATTAGCACAGTCAAACAAAAGCACATTAAAACAAACACTGGTACAGTTGGTTATAATAATAATTGTTTTTATTAAACCGGTCGTGTTTTCGTGATAAATGTGAGTCACTACACTCTCAAGGTCAGTTTAGCGTCACTCAAAGGTCGTCCATAAATTATAGTCCCACTTTTTTAGAGCTTCTGAAGGCTCCGTCGTAGTTCTCGGGAGCCGTCCGAACACTAAGTAAGTATATTTGTAGCCAGATGAGAAATCATGAATTCATTTTATCCTTTAAACTTTATTATTCTTATCATATTCAATGTAATCTCTTCATTTGAAATGAATTACTATTATTATATATTTATAAAAGGTGTCAATGTAAATCAAATGCATATCATTGGCAAACTATCAATTCATTAACTGGTTGTTTATTAATACCAGAAATTATAAAAAATCAATACAAAAATGTATCCATGGCAACATGGTTTATTGAATGTACCAATGAAATGTATCCATTTTGTCAATATGGTACAAAAAAATGTTATCAACGTTTACGTTTAATTCAATTTAATCCCAATATCGATAGTGCTAATCATAATCATAATAATAATGAATTAACCTTAATCTCCGATGTTGATATCTCATTATGGCCATATTGTTTATGTTATAAAAATTTTACTGGTATTGATTGTTCTATACCATTTAATTCATGTCAACATCTTATATCGAATGTTTTATTGAAATCACAAGTACTATTACATAATCAATTAGTTTATGATCATGATATTGATCGTCCATTAATATCACTTAATAATGATGGTGGTGATAGTCATAGGGATTATCTTAAATCTGCTACTGGTAATTGGTTATGTGGTGTTCCATTTGGTTATGGTACATGTCATTCTTCTTCTTCTGGTTAGTTATTATATTGATATGTTTTGTGTTTGAATGTTACTTGTTTTATAGCTGGATTGTTGCTAATTGTTGGTTGTGTCAGAAAATACTTATTATTATTTATACTTGTGAAAATGAGGAACCATTGGAATTCTCATGACACCAATAGTAAGAACACAAAGATTGGTATAAGTGATGATTTGTTAACCCCCAAAACACGATGACGACAACGACGATGATGACAATGGCGACGACGACGACGACAATGGCGACGACGACGACTCTAGTAGAAAATACACTCATTTATTTATTTATTGTACACACACTTAGATTAATCATTAGGATGAAATCACATAGATGATAAATACCTAGGGTTATAACAAATCATATGCTGAGTATAATTGATATCCATTGAATACAAGAATATCTGATCTTATACAGAATAAAAAAAGTCATACGGGAAAACAAAACTGAATATTACACTGAACAATCATTACATTGAATCAAAAACGGAAGTAATGCTGAACCAAAAACTCATAATGAATAAATCAATTGAATTTTGACTTTTCATTCCATCATATCAATTATGATACATATGAAATATCAGATGGGTTTTGTGGATATTATAGTAATTTCAATGGTTAAGATCATGAGTCAGTTGAAGCTAGACCACCATGGAAAACTTGGATTAGTTGAAGTTAGACATCAACACCACTGGATGCTGGCTCAGTGGTCTAGTGGTTAGGGACTCGCGCGCGACATCAGTAGGTTCTGAGTTCGAATCTCGCAGGGGGCGGGGTCGTGGGTACGCACTGCTGAAGAGCCCCACGATAGGACGAAACGGCCGTCCAGTGCTTCCAGGTTTTCTATGGTGGCCTAGCTTCAACTGACTCATGATCTTAACCAATGAAACATATGAAATAGTTTAACTTCATTTACATTAATAATTTATGATGTAATAATGTAATTTGACAATAAGGAAATATAATAATAACTAGTTAATTAGATCCTTTTATTCATTTATACAAGTTTTAAACTTGATAATTCATGGATGACCTTTGAGTGACGACAAAGTGACCGTCAGAGTGTTCATATATTCACGAGGACTAAATGATGGTTATCAAGCAGTGTCAGTCAGTCAGCTACAACGTAGGACCAGGCACATATATGCATCGGTCCAGGTTGCCATACCGCATTAGCACAGCAAGATGAACACCAGATTCATAGGAGTGGTTAGGTCAAAAGTGGTTATATATAGGAGAAAGATTGCATATGAGGATACAGTACAGGAAGAAAGAATTAGTTCATAGAAAGAAAGATATGAAGTGATTTTAATCTCTTAGTTTAAGGGAAGATAGAGAGTGTATACATCGACGCCATTGTGATGGATTCTGAGCCATGTCATCAAGAGTTTCCAACCATTGGTTACAATAGTCACGCGGACTCCAACCAAGTAGTCTGCATCTACCAACATGGCTAAGACCACCAGCCAGCATTGCGCGTCGTGGTAATCGGTGTTCAGGTATAAGTAATAGGTGGCCCAACCATCTCAGTCGATGGAGATTTACAATCTCATCAGCTGGTTTATCATCGTCATTCCCTAATACCCTGCATCTAACCTCACTATTACTTACTCAGTGATCCCAGCAGATGCTGGCAAGATTTTTAAGACATTAGAATTATGATTAACAATTGATGGTTAAGGTTAAGAATTAGATTTATACTTTTCATCACGAATTGACATCAGCTAAAATCCCAAAACGTTATTTAGCGAAATGGATAACTGAATTTCACGTCAAAATCGGACACTTGTCATCTTATACACCTGATTGGTTCGTTCATAAATTATAGTCTCGCCAGTGTTCATTAATTTATATCTGTAGATCTTGTTAAATACCTTCACTAATCCTCTTCGCTTTCTTCGTTCCATCCCCCCGATTGTCTGTTCAGATCAACGATTGTATGAAATATTCGCATTCAACATTTCATTCTCGTATTCGACTTATTTAATTCTGTTATTTACTAACTCGATTTAATTCGATAATTATATACGAGGACTGATGATATGTCATAGTCGATAACGGTAATCACATAATCAAATTAGAGTCAGATATATCCTGGGCCACTTAAGGCTATATTGAGGCAATCTTCACAGGATGAACATATGCCAATAAGAGACTGATCAATCGTAGACTTAAACATCAACGGGAAGATTCAAGCAAACAACAGCAATTGAATTTAAGCTTCACTCCATCGGACAAGCAGGTAGTTATCAAGACTAAGTAGTTGAGCGAATAACACGGTGGCGTTCAAAGCGAACGATACTGGGTTCAAGTCCCGGAGTGAATGTCAACATTGGAATGCTAGCACATTTAGTTGACGAGTTCGAAATAGGATGAAACGCTCGTTAAACTGGATTTCACTACTAGCCACCATCCATCTTTGCTTATCATGTTTGTGAACAAAAGCAATATCAAAGCTATCCGCACAGAATACACGTATACCAATAAGAGACTGATCAATTACAGTCCTAATCATCAATAAGAAGATTCATCATTATCTACTATATTATACTCGTTTTTGTATTGATTATTAGGCTTACAATATTATTGTCAATGTAATATTGGTTATGAAAAAGATGTAAATTACAGTGATATGGATAATTGTTGGAAACAATCTGAACAAATAAACAACAATGAAACTATTTACAAATGTGGTCAAAATATCTGTTTAAATGGTGGACAATGTATTTATGTAACTAAAGGACTTGTCACTTATATTGATCAATATAATAATGAGATTACTATCACTAATGATACTAATCATATATATAATCAAGTGCCAATATGTCAATGTCAACCAGGTTATACTGGTTTCTATTGTGAATTAACAGAAGGTATATGGAGTGGTAAGTAATTAATCAAAAAATATAACAACTTCTTATTCATTTCGATTTGTTTATATTCCCTATTTTAACCCTCTTGATATACAATTGCTAGTCTATGGGATTTATGAAGATTGTTGGATTTTCAGTTTAAATCACAAACGGATCTTAGCTAGATCACCAGTGAGAACATAAAATTATTGAACGGCTGTTCCATCCTCGTGTGGGACTTATCAACAGTGTGCATCTATGACCCCTTATGAAAAGATCAAATCCATATCCTTTCATCTCGTGTGTGAACGCTTAACCTCAAGACCATGGAGTCATCATCTAACGGTGTTAATGTTTTACTTCAGTCACTTCATAATATTGCGCAATCCTCATCTGTTCATTAAATTGAATAACTGTTTCATGTCTAACACGAATTGAACTCCAATAATTACGGATTCTTACTAGAACTCTAGAAGTTACATCCTGATGCGGAATCATGGATACACATTGTTAATAACTCAAACTAGAATGAAATTGTCGTCCAGTGTTTCCAGATTTCCAATGGTTTTCTAGCTAAGATCAGCTCGTATTTTAAACTGTGAAGTACTTATATGAGTACAAATAACAGAAAAGTTACCTTTTGGATTTATTCAATTGTGATAGATAGATGTTGCCTTGACGTATTGGTCAAGATGACTAGTACATATAACATGTCCAGGTTTCAGTGATTGAAAAACTTAGTTTTAAAGGTCTTACCATCTCATTATATCAAATGAAGAGTTGCATGTTTGATATCAAACAGTTTCACATTGTTGATAATTGACATAATAAAAACAATTCCAAGCTCAAATTGATAAAATGTGCTGTGATTATCATAAAATGATCGACCTTTTCACTCTAAGCATATGACACATTCTACTTCTGTCATACGAATTTCTATTATTAATAAACATGTCAGTTATTATCCCATTAAAGAAGAAATCCTATATATGATCAAAGTATATTAAATATTGGTTGGAATTATTTTTTCTGGTTAGCGTTTTCTTAGTAAGTTAGTTTTCTGCGGGATGAAATCGCTAACCTCATGCCCAACCCTCGTTCTTTATTCGGGCTTGGGAACGGCAGTAGCTCTAGGGGGGAACAGGTGGAGTTCTACAATTGAAGAACGTCTGGAACTCAAAACAACTATCAACCAACACCGAAGTCACAAGTTTCGATTCAAATGTCAAGACACTTCTACTGTATGAGGCGGAAACCTGGAGAACTACGAAAGTCATCATTCAGAAGGTACAAGTGTTTATTAACAGTGGTCTACGCAAAATATTTCGAATCCGTTGTCCAAATACTATCAGCAACAACCTGTTGTGGGAGAGAACAAACCAGATTCCAGCGGAGGAGGGAATCAGGAAGAAGCTCTAGAAATGGATAGGACACACATTGAGAAAGCACCCAACTGTGTCACAAGAAAAGTCGTCACATGGAATCCTCAAGGTCAACCGAAAAGAGGAAGACCAAAGAACACATTATGCTGGGAAATGGAGACAGACATAAGAAGAATGAACAACAATTGAAGAGAACTAGAAAGGGAGGCCCAGGACAGAGTGGGTTGGAGAATGGTGGTCGTTGGCTTATGCTCGATTGAGAGTCACAGGCATAAGTATGTAATTAAGTAGGCAAGTAAGTAGGTAGGTAAGTAAATAAGCAAGTAAGTAAGTGAGTATGTAAGTAAATAAGTAAGTATGTTAAATATTCGTTGGTATCTACAGTTCAACAACATACAGGATTTGTATGCAACTTCTAATCATTTGATTCTCTTGTTTATTTCAAAATAACCTTAACTAAAGGAATTTAAGATTTTAGGGATCGATTGAGATGATAACTGGATCAATGTTAAACCACTATTGAAAACCTAGAAGCATTGGATGACCGTTTCGTCTCTAGTATAGGACTCTTCAGAAGTGCGCATCCACTGTACATCATTTTGATATGATAGAATTTAATAGTTTTATCTTATTTGTACTAACTAGAACAAAACAAAAGATGGAGATTTACAAGATTCGAATCATTTCTTGTGGTACTAACTCTGAAGTTTGTTGACTTCACTGTTGTTAAGTCTTGATAATTGAACGCTATATTCGGTTCCTAAGCTATTCTCGTAACCCTCAAGCTAGAACTACACAGCAACCCGAACACTAGAGAAAAGGCGAAAAATATGCGAGAAGCACTTTACTCCAAAGGTTTGTTCTAGTACAGAAAATATAGGGATTTTATAGTATTTTAGATGCCCTTGGGTTTCCCGAAGATTCCGGAATGCTACTAAACATAGTAGCAGTATAGTAATCATCCAATCAGAAACTCTACATGTGACTTTTCACTTTCTTGATGTTTCTGGCTAAAATTTTAATGAATGCTGATTAGCTAAAATGCTTCTTAGTGTTTCCTGAACCTTTCTTGTCTTTTGCGAGAAGTTTTCTGGATCATCCCAACAATTGTATAAAAAGATAATATGTTCTTCGGTTTTACATTATAACAGCAATCTTGAGTGATTTATTAGACAATCAGATAGTAATTTATGGCTGGATTAACAGTTTCGACATGATCAATGCGCGAAAAATGGTTAGGATTATTAGTCAAGAGTCCGGATAATGTTAGAAACTAAGGTTATAAATGTTAGAACTTGTTACTAGGGTTAGTGTTTTCATAAAGAACTGACCACTCGCAAATCAACCGGAATTAAGGCACCTCGAAAGCAGCTGGCCATCAAGGCTGCGCGCAAAAATGCTCCATCTACTGGGGGTGTGAAGAAACCACATAGGTACAGACCTGGGACCGTCGCCCTCCGAGAAATCCGACGTTACCAGAAGAGTACCGAACTTCTGATTCGTAAACTTCCATTCCAGTGTTTGGTCCGAGAAATCGCCCAAGACTTCAAGACGGATCTACGATTCCAGAGTTCAACTATGTCTGCTGTTCGATAAGCTAGTGAAGTGTACTTGGTTGGATTATTTGCGTATAGGAACTTATGCGCTATCCATGCTAAGCGTGTCACTATTATGCCAAAGTATATCCAGTTGGCACAACGTATCTGTAATGAACGAGCCTAACTGACTTCTGTTATAATCATAATATTATCTTAGTAGTTTAAGTTACGAGGATCAAGCTAAACAGATGAGATTCAATACATCATTAATCATGTATCAAATCATACCAAGTACTCTCAATTTGTACAACTTGTGCATTAAGAACAAGATGTAATGACTTTTTCTACGTATGTCCAATACAGTCAAAAACTTTAGTTCACCGCGTTTTTTTTTCAACTTCGCATAGAGTTATCTTCAATCTAGTTGATTTCCTGAAAGTTTCCGATATCATCATATGATGTTACTATATACTTAATAAGACAATTCACGATAACTTAGTTTGTCATATACAAGTTATCAAAGTATTCAAACCAACAAACGCTTCATTCTCTATCATTGTGATAATCAACATTAGGATACATGTTTATCCAGGTAAATAAAATCTTAGACAGAACATAACATACATCCTAATATCTAACTACTAGTTAGAATCTATCTATTTTATAAGAAGAGCTTATCAGGTTTCTATAGCACTTTATTTAATGACTATTCTTTGAACAAGAACCGATGCTTTCAACGTGATATGATCGCCGGTGACTTTTGTTCGACTACTATTTAAGTCAAGGTTAGACAACTTTTATTGGTTTCCATTCATTTTACCGGTTAGGGTAAAACTCTATTGTATGTGTAATAGTATTTACTTAATCCCATTGTGAATTGTATCATTAAAATGGTTTCTATTCATTTCATTTCTAAGAATGGAATTCATGGAGTGATTGTCTACCTAAATGTGGTATAAAACGTTATCGTTCACGTTTACGTTTATGTCATGGAGATGTTGGTTGTATTGGATCCAATCAAGAAATTCAAAAATGTCCATCAAAGAAATGTATCACAGTATCATTGAATAAATCTAATGATAAATCAATTCAAAGGAAAACATTGACATTAAATTATTATTTAATATGGTTTCTAGGATGTTTAATACCTATAGAGATAGTCATTATTATTTTAGGTGTGATTATATATGAAAAGTTTCTACTTAAAACATCGTCATCGTCATCAACATCATCATTATCGTCACCATCGTCATTTTCGTCTCCACCTTCCTCATCGTCATCGTCATCATCATCATCATCGACTTCATCGTAATCGTAAACTTCATTGTAATTCACTTACTTATATCTTGTCATCTTCCATTCTTGTTGTTATAAGTAAAAGAAAAAATACACAAATGATTTAATAATGTTACAGTGCACATGAGCTCTTTAATAAGATGTCTTTAAAACAAGTTTGAAACAAATTTGATGGGATAAATGATTAGAAACCAGATAACTAACGTTTATGCATTCATTAAAACAACTACAATATTTGCACAGAATTGTTGTGGTATGTGGTATCTGAAATCTGATAGCGGTACACGGTATGCTACGAGCTAACCTCTCCACCCCCCGCCGTCCAACTGCCTACTTTAGCAAGAACACAGAATTGAGTGGGAAATTGTATTAGACTACCGAACGAAATACACAAATACTCATTCACATATATGATACCATTATTTCTTTAGGAAATCGATCCATTGACCTCAATGAAATGCGTTTAACATTTGGGTCACCTCTGACTACCATCGATTGACATTTTGCTACTTCTGATCGGTACTCCATATCCATATGTGATAGACTGTCGTTATTGTTATCTTATCAGTTTGAATATAAGTTTAACTTCAAGTCACTTTATGTAATTCATGATAGAAGCATTAATTATCCAGATACAAGCATTCTCAATTAGCGAAAACAGTCTTCTGACTTAATGACATCTCAGCTGAGTTTGTCAAATGAATTCAAGCATTATTCAAGTGAATTTAACAATTTCTTACTTATCAGTATAAGATTATAATATTTTCAAAGTTGCTGAATTCATAAGTCGATCTAAGCTAGAACACCACTGAAAACCTGGAAGTATTGAACGATTGTTTCTTCATAATATAGGACCGTCCAATGCTTCCAGGTTTTCAACGGTGATTTTGTGATGTATGCTACTGATATCGACAGGTATAAGTAGTATGTATCACTGATCGAAAGTAAAATGACTAATAGAAGACGATTGAGAAGATAGAACAGGAGAGAACAAGAATAGAGAGTGATTAGTATGTAGACGAAGGAACAATGCAGTTTGAAAGAAGTGATAAATATTTTTCAAATGAAGTATTTACTGTATGGTTCTCAGATTCTGTAATTTTATGCTTAAATACATTTAGATTGTCCTCATTTATGTTTTCGTTTACTACAGTCTAGCTTAAATTGATCCGTGAATTGAACTTTGGAAATCTGTTTCTTATTAGTGGATACAAATATGTATTAAAGAATAGTGTCGAAGTGTTAGCATAGAATCTTTTGAATAGTCTTAATCTAACAACCAAATAATAAGCGAAATTGATATATTGAACTAACTGCCCTCAAATGCTCTGGTACGGCCTAGAGTAGAGAGAGTCCACTCTCTCTCTTCAAATGCTCACACATAGCCACGCGTATACAACCACTACCAGAGAAGTGTTTGGACATGTCAAGCATTAAAAGAAGCTTGTTTAATGATTGAAAAGTCAAAGGAGAGTGTACTAGTCTTTGATGTAACCTCCCTTCGATCATTTAGATTATTTTGAAGAACGATTATTGTGGAACAACCTTTTCAGAGTTGATGAGATACTCTCATATTGATATACCGATTACTTCTAGTTCTATACAATTGTAAATAATACTGTTGTAATCGAAGACTTGGGCGGTAAAGACCAATTTATTGTTTATCGCAAAATTACAGTGTGTCTACGTAAAATATGAAAGCCATACATTAGGTACATCAATTGTACATCTTCCATCAGTTGTCTCTTATATACTTTATCGTTCTTTCATTCCTATACTCTTCAATTCGATCTTCTCAACCTTCTGCTGCAAGGCATCCCACTACAGATTGATGTTACATACTACTTATATCTGTCAACTTAAGTAGCATACACTACAATACTACAGAAGAGAACATTTTCTTCACTGAATTAGCTATATATATATATATAACATGAGCATATAGATGCATTTCAACTTGTTTAACTAATGAAAGCTTCCTTCTTACATTTCCCCCTTTGTCATTTAAGTAACCAGTAGTGTCCAAGTGTAGGAAGAAAGTATGCTTATCAATATTATGGAAAGATATCTCACATTCCAACAGAAATCTTGAAATTAAAACACAAGATTTGTCTATACAACAGTACCATTATGCAACCTACAGCGTCAAATACAGAAAAAACAAACACTAGAAACTTCGAATTACATATTGTTCACAATTAGACTACATTTTTAGTTGATACTTTGGAAGAAAGTGTATTGTTTAAACAAGTAGATGAGTTTTATTTATTTATTTAAACACATAAACATTAATACAAGGGGGCACCAAATAGATATGCGCTACATAAATCATTTGATTTGTGTGAGGAATAGGATACTGCTCGGGTGCCCGAACTGAAGTAAGTGGTTTTCTCAGGGGGCCACACCCAGGGCCTTTGACCTAAAGGTTTGATCCACAAGGCAGTAGATCAACATCAGGAAATGCGGTTCCATGGTAGCCTGTGACCAATAATTGGTTCATACGCCATTTGTTCTTTCAGGATCCTGGAGTCCATGTGCACCATCTGTTTTGAGTCAGGGTTTTCCAACTTCCCTAAATGGACTCTCTGTGTCCACCAACCCGGTTTAAGCCCTTGCCGGACATTCGCTTTTCATCCCCTCAATTTTGTAAATAACACCCGGGATGCGAGAAGCCAGTGAGTAGGACTTCCCTGGTAGTGGTTGTATGCACGTGGCCACTTGAGAGCTTTTGTAGAAGGGGAGCGGACTCTCCCCACTCTCGACCGTACCAGGGCATTTGGGAGCCTCAAGGTTAAACTACATAGCCTATTGTGTTAAGGCTATAAACTAGATCGACAAAAACTCTCTCCTGTATATTAGATGGGAAGAGAGATCGTAGTACGTTACAACGTACATAACTCATAACTCCCTACTCTGTTTAACATCAATAACGTAAAAAAAACAACGAATTCGAGTTTCGAATTAATAAATTATGAAACATAACTGAGAAACAATGTTTAGTGTTCATCGTAAATGTGATGCAATAGTAACACAGGTGGAGTAAATTCATGTCACAAAATGACATTTCTCGATATTATAGTAATTTTAATAGTTGAGATCATGAGTCAAGGAGTGACCAGTGGAGTTTAACCGGGTCTGTTGTGAAATAGTAACTCACTAAAGACAATGGTGAATGTGTCGCTCAATATCGTGGATTAGTTGAAGTTAAACATTAACACCGTTAGATGCCGGTTAGCTTAGTGGTCTAGTGGTTAAGTGTTCGCGAGCGATACTGATATATCTTGGATTCGAATCTCTCGAGGCAGGATCGTCGATGCTCACTACTGAAGAGTCTGATTCTAGGACAAAACGGCTGTCCAGTACTTCGAGGTATTCTATTGTGGTCTAGCTTCTACTGACCCATGAGATTTCAACGTTCATCAACCAAACCATCCAGCTGAGAGAATAAAACTCCATCAAAATCATCTACCTGAGCTACAAATCTTCTTCACCATCTCGTAAGCCCATTTCATTTGATAGTGTACATTTGTGTAAATTCAATTATACTTAAATAGTTCCTTAATGTTAGAAAACAATTTTCCAATGAATATTAAAGTGTATCGCAGTATTTTAGTTGTGTTTTATTTATTGCGTAAATTTCATTTAAACCAGCTTAAAAGTTTTCATTTAAAGTGTTAACCTACTTATTATGACTATTAAGTAGTATACGATAGATGCGATCATTTTAAAGTCTCATATAGTTGATTTTTGTATTGATTGTTTGAATCTGTAGTTGATCATTCTCTTATTGGCATATGTGCATCCTGTGAGAATTTCCTCAAAATATGCCTAAAATCACAAGCAGAGATGATGAATGATAGTGGAATCCAGGATCTGCGTATCTTCCTATTTGAGTCTGGTCGATGGTTACTCTGGAACTCAGTGACTAAGTGGAATATCAACTATGTGATGCAGGTACTTCCAGTTGAAGAGCCCCAAATAAGACGAAACATACGTCCTGGATTTCACTTATAACCATCATTCATCTTTACTTAAATGTTGTTGTGTCAAAATTTTACAAATTCTCAAAACAGTCATCTGATGACGTTGTTTTTAACATCCTGTTTCCATGTATAGTTTCAATCTTTCCTACTAACAGTTAATTGTATTTCTATAGTTTTTCTGTTGAAGCCACTACACCTTTGAAATTATATTCGTGTTGTTCAGTTCAGATATTCTCAAAATATCTCGACTCTATTTCCGTCGTTAATTACTAATGTTAATGAATCTAGATGAAATGTACCTCTATTCGATTATTCACTTACATATATCCATTTTTTTCTGTCTAATCACTGACGTTTATCAAAGTGTATTCAGTTTCACTTTGGAAAGTAGAGGAGGCTTGGTTGCCTGTGTTCTTCCTAGAATAGTTGTCTCTCAGTTGATTCAACTGTCTTTTTATAGATTTGAGAGATAGAACTTCAACCACGTGTCGAGCTAATGAATCCTATTCGTTGACGATTCTATGGAAAAGTCAATAGACACTTGACAAGTAATATGTTCTTAACTTGTCAATATTTTTAGTGTTTTCATAAAACTATGTTTTGGAAGACAAGAGAAATGGGAGTATCTCAGATACAAATTTATCACTAAGTAACTGTCATCAAATCGCCTCTGTTTCTTCTATATGACAATGGAAATAGGTTTACTTTAGCCAGTCGAGTATCATACGGAAGCTATGCTACTCAGGGAATCAGATTAGTTGAAGTTCTTTAAAACTTTTCCAAAAGCTCACTGTCTCTTGTTACACATGGGATAGCTGCTTGTATGCAGTACTCGAGTTTAAGACACGCGAACACTGTATACAAAGTGTGACGACAGACCACGGGTGAACTCGATGAACCTGTAGGAAGCTCAGAAGGAGCCGAAGATATTTCATTCAATCGCCTTTTGGAAGAATGTTCTAGAATTCCTACGTGTAGCTTCCCGATTGGACAATGCTAATAACCTCTTGTATACTGATTGGTGGAGTGTAATGATGATTTTGTTCTTACTAAAAGCTATAAATACCTGACAATTTTGTACTATAATTGACACTGTGTGAGAATAATATTCCTTTCATTAGTCTACTGTCTTCTCAATGTGACTT